TTTAAAGAATATGGGAGGTTTGTAAATTGTAGGCAAATATTATGAGATTTTTCTAGTAAGCTATTTAAGCACTCTGGATTTTGGAATCTGTAGGAGGGAATCTAGAACCAAGCCCTCTCTGGTAAGGAGAGACAACTGTGGCTTTTAGGGTTTTAAGGGTGGTGGGGAGGGAGGTGTCACAATAAAGCTATGGTTACGTAACTCCCCATGTGAGCAAATAATGTATGTACTTGATGCCAATGTAAAATTTCTGGCTCCCATGTTGTGCTATAAACAGAACCATGGAAGATGTTGCATGAAGGGACCAGGTGACATTTATATCTTTGCAACTTGCTGTGACAATAATTACTCAAAATTAAAAGCAAAGTATTACATAGTAGACAAAATTTCAAAGAGATAAGAAAATAAAAGTGATACTTAACAAGACAAACAGACTAGAGAGAAAACACAAACCCCAAATGAGGTATAGGAGACTAGCTGGTTTCAGGAATGAAAGGCAAGTGACTCCACAAACTGTAAAGGAATGTGGGCTGTTATATTTATCACATATTGAGTAGTGACCAGTTCCAGGTCTGCTGATTGAACCTAAGGATAATAAGAAATTGAATAACCAAAACCATTCCCATGCCCTCAACCACGGCTTACACAGAATTACTTTATTTTAAATTATGTGTATGCTTATGTGTCTGCACATGGGTATGTGACATGAGTGCAGGTGCCCATAGAAGCCAGAAGAGGGCCCTGGGTTCCCTGGAGCTGGAGTTACAGGCAGTTGTGAGCTGCTGGATAAGGATACTAGTAACTGAACTCATGTCCTCTGGAAGAGCAGCAAGTGTTCTTCACTGCTAAGCCAGCTCTCTAATCACAAAACTAAATTTAAAATAGCTAGAGCAAATAATCAGGATCTTGCAATGAGAACTTGAGCCAAAGCACACTTCGATATATTAACTAGATCCAGAATATTCTCATTATCTGAAATTGTGGGCTGGGCCAGAGAGGGAGCACAGCTAGCTGTAAGACCTTAGGACTGGGTACAGGAGCTAGCAATAATAAAGAATTAAAGAAATCTCTTTCACTGAACTTAAGCCAGAAAATCAAACTTCCAAAACCCGAGATAATAATATTAAAATGTCCCAGGCTGGAGAGATGGCTCCATGGATAACGCACTCGATGCATAAACAGGAAGACATGAGCTTGGATCCCCAGCACCCACATTAAAAAGTTGGGTACAGTGGCATATGTCTGTAACCCCAGTGTCAGGAAATAGAGCAAGGGGGTGCCTGGGGATGTCTCTATCCATCCACTTTAGCTGACTGGAGGTCTTCAGGTTAAGGAAGAGAATCTGTCTCAAAAAATAAACTGTAGGGTGATATGGGAAAACTCCCAATATTGATCTCTAGCCTCTACTCACACATACATGTAGACACACACACACACACACACACACACACACACACACGTACACACACACTCACACACACGATCATCAACAAAATTAAAACATAATCACTCAAGTCATTCCAACTGATTTGAAAATAACTGAGCTATTGAGGAATGACATCAGAGCAAGGATGCTAGGATCCTCAATGAGATAGTATAACCGGTAAGAGAGACAGATGTCCAAGAGACCAAGCAGAAATCAAACAATAATAGTTCTGAGAAAGGACCCTATTAGAAAACCCAGAAAAATACACTTAAATTCTGTAATTATATGTAAATTCTAGACATAATAAAAATTAGCAAATTTGAACATATATCTGAGCAATCTACCAAAAGTCTAGAAATAAAGATATATAAATTAGAATTTAGGAAATATGTATGATATATCATGAAATTTTAGTGCTAAGTGTGCTATAGAGTTGCACAAAGAAGATAGTAAAGTTAGCATTAGGAAAAAGACTATTTGCAAAGAAAATCCTCAAGTTTTCTAATTATGTAAAAATGTCCTGAATCTCAAGGTTGAAGTGTCTATAAATGTGAAGACCCTGCTGTGTCTCTTTCCAGTCAGAAAACACAACAAACACTGCCAACCTGTAGGAAAGACTTCTGAGAGTCCATAATGGGAAAAGATGCCCTATATTCAAAATGGAATAAATCATCTTTAATATAAATTCACCAACCAAACTGAAATAAGAGTACAGCAGAAATTCTGCCTAGCCTGATCAGAGCAGGACCAGAATGACTTCTACAAATGTCTAATGCTACAAAGTTAGAAAAGGAACCCGGAGCTTAGTTTGCCTAAGATTTAAGAAGTGGAATACCAAGGCTGATAACCCAGCATGTATCCAGTCTGTTCTGTCACCCTACATGTGCACTCACAAGTCCAAACACAGAGAGATACATGCTCTGATTTGATATATTGAAGGCCAGTTTCTCACCAATATGGAAACAAATACCCATGAAAAGTGATGAGCTGCCATTAGTGGTCTATTCTGCAACAAGTGCCTTGTATTGCTCTTCTCAGCTTTGGTAAAGTGACTTTCCCCCCAGGTTTATTCAGAACTGTTTTCAGAAGAGAATTTTCTTCTTTGTTCTATTTAATCTACACAAGACTAAAAATAATTATGGCACTAAAAGGGTAGGATGTTGCTCTAAGATGTTAAAGTTTACAAACAAGATAAGTACACATGTTTACATGGAATACACATGTTTATGAGCTTTATATAAATAAGAAACATCATTATATATTAATTACTGAGCATGTACCTACTATTTCCTATTGGCTGAATAAAACATGCAAATATCTAGGGAAGATTAACCTTATGTAAGAAGATATGTGCCGTCTTAAAAACATGGAATTAAAAGGATATTATGGCTTATTTTGGTTTTTAAAAGAAGCTTTCTCAGCAACCAATCAATATGTAAACATGACCAGCAAAAGCAGAGGATTGTAATTTAAGGTTAAATATTTTAAAAACCAAACAGACCTTTCTAGCCTTTGTTCTTTGTAACTTAAATATACCTACTAGAGGGAAATTCATTCTTTTTGTAGCCCCTCCCTGTAGCATGTTAACTTCCTAATCTGTGATTAAACTTGAAAACCAAGAAAAAAAATGCAGTTTTCTGTAATTTTACTCTCTGAATTGGTTCAGAGGGAATAGGTAAGGGATAAGGTTTTATTTCAATTTGAATCTTTAAAAGGTTCATCTCTAATAAATTTGCAGCTGCACCTTAACTTTATTTACTGATACATATTAAAGGTCAAAACAACTAACATCTTTTCTTAACAATTCACATTGACTTAACAAAAGGCTTTATGAAAACTATTTTGGGGTGACTGTGATAAGAACATAAATTTTCAAAATTTTTAAAACATTTATGCAAATAATAAACAGTATTTTCTCTACAAAGAAAAGGAAAGAAAAGAAAGAAAAAGCCTTTTCACTTTCTAGCAGCAGGAATGAACAGCTAAGGGTTGTGACTGGAGGGAAGAAAGATGGAATATAACAGGTGGCTAGGATATAATGAACTTATTCTCTTAAAAAGGAATTTGTCAGTCACAATTAGCAATTGTTAAAGAAGCTCAGGTCAAATCAAGGAACTAAGGTGTTTTTCTTCTGCATGATCTCTGTGTGAAAATCAAGACAAATACTTAGTTCTGCCATGAATTAATAGGTCTCTAAAAACTTTGCAAGAAAGCAGTCAAATAATGCCTCAAAATTGCCTTTTAACTGAAATCACATTCAGACAGTCTTAAATGCTTCCTCCCCTTGTTGCAGATTTGTAACTTCACAATAACTTTTTTTGTTCAGTTTATGAATTTATCTTAGCAAACACAAGGTAAAGTGTTCCAAATATAAGGAGCCTAGTCAAAGAAAATTTTATGTTTAAAATGAGTATAAAAGAATTTGTTACATCTCTACTCTGTAATATATTTAAAAGTATATGAGGCACATACCTACCTCGGAACCTCATCAAATCAGCAACATGGAGGACATGTTTTCCACTTGATCTCTTTTGATAATATCTAATGCAAATACTTTGTTCATAAAAACTGCTTTCTTAACAAATTCAACAATAGCAATAATATTTTGGCACTTACTACAATTGTACTTCTGAGTTTGGAGATTTGGAATAAGAAAAATAATTCTTTGCTTACATTTTTAGGAATACTTACAGGCTCTGATATTCTTTGAACAAAAAACACTTAAAATAAGATTTTAAGTATGATTAAACCAGAAATTAAGCACAATTTATACTTTGAGATCTTTTCATTTCAGAAAATATAAGCCTACTAACTTTCAAAATATTTTCACTGAAATAAAAACTACTCAGTATTATTTCAACATAACTCTCTTTTAAAATGTGTGCAGTTTCTTCAACACAATGTTAACAAACAAGAGCCAAAGGAACAAAAGAAGTTTTCATACTGCTGCTCAAGAGAAGTTTAAACAAACCTTCCCCAGGAATAATACACATAAACCGCAAGAAGGGAATTGTGGAATCAAAGAACACTTACTTTTTATATGTAAAGATGCACTTTCTTTCTTATTTTAGGGTTAAAAATAAGAGGGCTCAGCAGTGAGTCTTGCTGGCAGTCAGATAAGCACAGGCCCTGACCCTTCCACTAGCCAGGAATTTCTTACACAAAGCTCTTTTCATAGTCTGCGCTGTATATTTCCGAGATAAGGCGGCAAAACATGAAGTGGTGGGTAAGTGACACAAAAGTTGGACTAAATTAAATGTTTACACTTATTCTGCACCACCGATGTTTCTGCCACACATGATTTGCCTAAAACAATATTGACTCTGGTTGCAGAAAAAGCAAGATTCAAACAAAGGGAGAATTGGAGATAAAAGGACAGACAGGACAATACAAATAATGTATTTCTCTTTTCAGACTGCAAATTTCATGTGAAATCGACAAAAACAAAGCCATATCATTTCAGAACTCCTAAGTGCTCCTGCCAATTCATTTTTCCCGTCAAAGCGTAATAGATTTTTTTTAACTTTTATTAAAAGAAAGTATATTTTAAATAATATCTTAAATCTGCACTCACCATATGAAAGCAACAGTTGCGTAGAGTAAAAGTATGTTATTTTCTGCCCCCTGTTCCATTTCAGTTTTGACTATAGTTGTCCAACAACCAAAAGCCCAGAGCTGCCACCCAGAGGCCCCTTCACAAGCTGGTTTATTTGCCTGTCAGTCTGAGTGCCGGCTTCTCTGGGACGGAGCTGTGCACTCTGTTGATGTTCTAATATAATTTCCACATGCTGCCCACTGCCTCAAGTAGATGATCTGTTCTTTCAGTTCAATGAATACTCAAATCACTTTCCAGGTAACCCTGCAGGATCAAGCTTTAAGTTGTCCACCCTCAAGTTGCGGAGTTCTTAGCGAGAGTGGGTGGAGAGAAGCAAGCTCACTACAGGGGAACTCCGGCTGTAATCAGAACGCAGAAACTTCCTCTCTTTTTTCCTGCCTTGCAAGACTCAGCGGCTAGAGCCTCTTTCGCAGAACTTAGGAATGTACAGGGAGGACGCAGTGAGGCCCCGCCAGACAGGCCTTTCTCAATCAATTAGCTTGCAGCCATTACTTGTGACCCCAGGTCACACAGCATAAGTGTGTGGGGTGTGCCTTCAGGGGTCCCAAGGCTACTTATGACAGCTTAGATAACCAAAGCCAAGCAAACACTCAATTCTAGAAATATTTTACTAAGGATATCAAATGGACCAAAGGTAAACTTTAACCATCTTTTTGAGTAGTTATTACTTTATTCAATGAATTAATTCAATGAATCCAAAGCAATATTTTTCCATGTTGGATCAAACAGCATTTAGAAAGGCTATTAGAACATTTCCTTCAGATTATATGACATAGGAATGTAGAGATGACAAAAATCACATAATTACAAAATATATAGTCCTTATATCGCATGTGTTTTAAGGTTTTGTTTTAAGGAATATGGATTTATTATACCATACTGCAAATTTGAACTATAAAGTTCTCGGTGCTGAGGGAAATCAAAATGATTTCACTTTGAGAACTCAGGAAAAGCTACTGTCTGAAAAGAGTCCATCCATACTACATTAATAGCAGGATTTCTCTTATTTCCAGAGCTATATTAATTATAATTTCTCTTTGTCCTCCAGTTAAGAAAAGTTCTTCCCTTTTAACATGATTTTAATATGAAAATTCATTAGAAAACCTATGAAACACTGAAGTCAAATGCAATATTGTAAAACTGTTTTCGGATTTTATGCATTAAGTTTACATATTCTTCAAAGACACATTTAAAAAAAGCAGCTATCATTATTATCATCCAAGCAATGACAAGGAAATATCACGTAATTGTATTTTAAAGCAAACCCATTCTTGTGAATAATCTAATAACACTAAGGAGCTCATGTTTTCATGGTGGCTGGATAGGATACCTTTCCCACACCCTATTGCTGTCAATACGAGTAACAAATGGGTTTCTAACACTGGCATGCCTATCCTGCCTGCTCAGTGATGCCATGGGCGTCTTAGGCATCACCTAACTTTGCACTTGCTGGAAATGGCAAGATTCCACATGGATACTGAATCTTACCTTTCCATCTCACTACATTTTACCTTGTCAACTGAATTGTCTTCAACTTAGGCATCATCTGATCTCAATAAAATGCACAAATTAAAAAAATGAACAAATTATACAAGTAGTGACAAAATAATAATTTTTGGTAGATAGAGCATCAATTTTGAAAACTCCTATAGCAGAATATATTACTAAGTATTAAAATCAGCTAACAGTGGGATTTAATGCAGAAACAAAGTCATCGATTGAAGGGTTTGGATGTCACCTCTCTCTCTCTCTCTCTCTCTCTCTCTCTCTCTCTCTCACACACACACACACACACACACACACACACACTGCCTCTCCATCCATATATATGTGTGTGTGTGTGTGTGTGTATGTGTGTGTGTGTCTAAAAAATAAAAAGTAAAACTTATTGGGCATCTTTCAGTGAATCAGCCATGACTGTTTTGCATGTTGAAACTAGACATTATTGAAAACTTAGCTCTTTGTGTAACAGATAGGTAGAAAATCGGGAATCTAATTAGTGCTTAAAGGATCTCAAGACTTCAGAGATTGCTACAATTGAATGCCACCAGATAATTACATGTTGCATTTTTATCTGAACACTTTATTTCTCAGATTCTGTATTCAAGATTAACAGCTAACTTAAGAATCAGCAAAGACTCTGGGCCTTATACTTTAGATGTCTACTGTTATACACTTCTAGGATCCAGACTTCACTGTAACATCACTTCTGCACATGAAATGCAGCGCTTTCTGAAAAGTTCAGAAAAGTCACTAATAACCAACACAGAATAGAAAGCATACATGAACACTGGAGCATTTCTTGATGATTTCCCAATGTATAATGTACTTTTTTATAGCTAGTTGGCCAGTTTTTGTAGGACCATAGACATTTCTGAATTACACATGGCTTAGAAAATAATCCTCTGTGCTGAAGTCTGGTATTGCATTGTAAATATCACTACCAAGTTTGTCAGCTTGTTTCACCTCAATTTCTCTTTTACTTTGTAGGGAAAAGTCTGCAACTCTAGATGGGCTGGCAAGTTAATCAGCATGACAGATGATTTTCTGCTAAATTCATCTAATTCAAAAAGTATCTGAATTGCTCACATCATTTTACAATGAAAACACTATTGATGCTAATTTTGAATAAATTTCAAAATATGTAAACATTTGTTCCAATAAAATAATTATTCAAACTGATAGGATTCAGTATGCGCCTATGACATTATAGAGATGTAACTTATAAGCATTACTTAATAACAGCATAATATTATCCATTATTTCATGTTAATATTTCTATGCTAATTATATCAGTCATCTATTTATTTTCCCTTATCATCTGTAATATTTGGAGGACAGTTATGTTGCATGGAGGAAAAGGAGAACTAAAATATAATGTTTAAAAAATACTAAAAACAAGCTGGGCGTGGTGGTGCAGGCCTTTAATCCCAACACTCAGGAGGCAGAGGCAGGCAGATCTCTATGAGTTCAAGGCCAGCCTGGTCTATATAGTGAGTTCCAGGAGAGATGGTGCTACAGGGAGACCCTGTCTCAAAAAGACCAAAAAAAAAAAAAAAAAAAAAAAAACACTAAAAACTTTAGTGGCTGAGGGTGTAGAACCACAGTTCAGTGATTACTTAGCAGAGACAAAGCCCTTGATTCAATTCCTAGCACTACAAGAATAAAAACAAATTCAAGATTTGTATAACAAGTAATTAGCAATCCAAACCCTAAGTTGGTCTCAGCCCATTTTTTGGTTAAAATACCTGCAGAAAATATGTACCAATCAACAATCTTAAAGGTTAAGACAAATAGAATGTTTCTTTGCTGCTCTAATTTTTATTTTATTTATTTGTACAGTGCCAGGACTGAATTCACACCTTGCTCACGCTACACAAATTCTCTACCACTGAGCTGCATTTGGTTTCTATCACTAAAGCTAAAAATGTTGGAATAGAGAAAACAATAGGTAGTCTTGTGCATCTAAAAATTAAAAACGTTTTCACATGACCTGATAAATCATATTAAGAGTGGTGAGCTTATTCCAACAAAAACTTGGATTGTCATTATTACACATAGTATCAGTAGAAAGGTCTGGTTTTTGGGATATGTGGGGATACAGAATACCACCTTACATTAGCAACTGAAGTTAGCCTGCAGATGTTCAGTCTATGGCTGGAGTGTGCATACCAGTGTTTCAGCTAATGGGACCAGCATGAGGGGATTTAAATAGCAAGCAGTTCATAATAAGGAAACAGATATCTGATTTTAAATATGACATTGAATAGATTCAGGCAAATGCTGAGAATTGAGCAAATAGGGAACAAATAGAAAATGGAGACCTATAGAAAAACACTACAGAGAAAACGGGACAACAGCACTATCGAAAGGAGTGTAATAAATGGATCTATCAATTAAAATAGGTGAAAACAGGTACATGAATCATATTAAACAGGAAAAGAAAAGAGTTGTGATTTAAAATAAAACAAGGATTGAGTTAGCAAGATAGTTTGAACACAAAGTGCTTGTTGCAAAGCCTGATGACCTAGTTCGATGCCCAGAATTAATTCACATAAAGGTGAAGGGAGAAAACTTACTCCACAGAGTTGTCCTTAGACCTCCATATGCATTGGCAACATGCACCTCTCTCTCTCTCTCTCTCTCTCTCTCTCTCTCTCTCTCTCATGAACAGAATAATAAATAGAATTTAAAACTAAGAAAATAAAGTAATACAAGAATATAGGAAAGAATAACATTTTTAAAAGAAAAGGCAGATAAAGCTTACCTAGACATATATTTCTTGATCTGCTATGTATAATTTGACAATAGGTTGTAGGAGTAATGTGGTTCTCTCTGGATTTCAAAACTAGCTAGGCTGGACCAACTGTGTGGCCTTAAACACCCAAAAGGAAAGTATAACTAAAGATTAAAGGGGCCAATATAATTTCATAAGAGTCCATATGCATAGCTAAAGGCTACATAAGAAGCAACAATGCCAGACAGGTGATACCTCCTTTTAGGTTGTTGGCCAACGTGGCCAAAGGGATTCCCAGATAGTAACCCAGCATAGAACTGGGAAATTGAACAGCAGACCCCAATCTTATCCAAAGGACTATTGACAACTGATTACTGCTAGATGAGGAACAGCTGACCCTCCTAAAACAAAGACCTCTAGATAGGCTGACTAGATTCACCAGAAGGGCTAGTGGGGAATGGCTGGGGGTGCTGACAACACAGCAGACAGTAGCAGGGATATCAGAGTATAAGGGCTCTAGTGGGGGAAGGGAGGCTATGAGAGGGTGCTACCTGGAAGTGGGTGTATAAAATAAAATAAAAAAATTCTTCAAAGCATAAAAATTTGCTCCTTAATAATTAGTAGTGCTGGATAGCTTTAGTGTCCACTTGACACACCTGGGTTGAGGGAGTCTCAGTTGGGGAATTTTCTCTATTGGACTGACCTGTGGCCATGTCTGAGGGGCATCTTCTTGATGAGTGATATGGGAGGGCCCAGCCCACTGTGGGTGGTGCCACCCCTGGGCAGGTGGG